TTTGACCCTTGATGGAGGTTGAGGAGGAGTTGATGGGCAACTGCTCCTCCATCTCTGTCTCCTGCTGTTGCTGCCTCCAGCTCACGTCTCCCCTGCTCTAAGGAGACAATTGCAGTAGGAGGTGATCCAAGGTGGCAGCAGCAGGAAGAGGTGCCTGAGTGTGCGAGAGTGCTCATTTACCCCTGCCTCCTGCTGAGCCCCATCAGTCCCACTGGAGGAGGGGATTGGGCGGGCGGGGGAGGCAGCAGAAAGAGGTGCCCAAGCATATGTGACTGCTCCTTCGCCTCCATCTCCTGCTGCTGCTGCCTTTGCCACTGGAGGGGACAAACTGTGAGCTCTGGAAGAGGCAATTGGGCAGCAGCGACAGCAAGAGGCGCCCAAGCATGCGTGCAGCTGCCTCCTCCTGTGTATAAAATGACCCTCAATTTTTCCTCTGATTATTTTAGGAAAAAGTGTTGTTTTATACACGGAAAAATACTGCAAGCTCTATTTCATACTGAATAATTAAAATTTAAAAATCCAATTAATTTTTTTTAAAAAATCAACTTTTTTAAAAAAAATCATTAGTTTTAATGCACCCTGCATATAAATATTTTAAATAAATACATACATAATAAAAAGATGTCCTTCCAGATACTGCCGGACTGCAACTCCCTTTATCGCTCACAGTTGGGATGTTAGGGCAGATAGGAGTTGCAGTTCAACATTTGAAGGTTTACCCATTGTCTGCCATGGAGTAGTCTACTCTAAATAGTGTAGATGGGGTGAATTGTTAGTGATATAAATCATGTTGGTGATAGCAACAGTACTTTCTGTGCCAGAGTTCCACTCCTGTGGTGTATGTAGATGGAATGTGGAGGTTTTCTTAGCTCCTTGATCCTATGTCTAACTCAGAGCTTCTTAGCCTGGGGGGAACATGGAGAAAAACTTTTAAAAATCATGTATGCCAAAATTGAGCATGTGAAGAAATTTTGGGAACGATGTAAGATTATGAGATTTTCATTGAAAATTTTTTTTAAAATCCATTTAAATAAATTTATGTGTTAGACACCTTTGCTAGAATGTAGGGATTCTCAAGAAAAGTGGGCTTGGATGATGGCAAAGGAAAGGACAAGAGGTATGAAGGTTTCTCAGAAAGGAAGTGTGATGCTGAAAAGTTTTGGAATTTAGAGAATCTTTCCATAGAACCTATGATGACAGTAGTGATACCTTTCTCCTATCTTGTCATTTTGCCCCCCAATTTTGATTATTTTCCTTTGATTTTTTACTGTAATTTTAAAAACAGAATAGTGAAGCAGCAGTTATGAGAGGTGGCTGGCTTAGTTTTTGGGCAGGTCCATCAGGAAGAAGAAAGGTTGGAGGAGCTTTTTCTTAGGAAACATGACAAAAACCTATGATCATCTATCAGATTCTCCTCAGATGGCTCTTATCTCTGTCACTCTACTATCCATCCCATCCTGGTCCAAAATGCCCATGTGTGGGTTGGGTAGGAGACCAAGAAGTTTCTCGGTTAGTAGTGCTGGGCTGCAGGAAAAGGAATCGCCTTATTGAATGTGCTGCTTGAAGGCTAGAGTTATGGATATCGCTTCCCCACCCCACCCCTTTCCTTATTTCTAGGAGGAAGGGTTGCTATCCAAAGCCTCTTTCTTTCTGTCTGTCTTTGTGGCCTGCCTCTCCTCTCCAGCTTCTCAATTGCAATCTGTATTCCTTGTTCCTTCTGCTTCTGAGATGGACAGGTCCTGCTCAGGAAAGGATGCTCTTCCCTCTTTTTTTTGTCCTCCTCCTTTTCTTCCCTAGCATCTTGTGCCTCAACTACAGCTGATTTCTATCTCTTTCTGAGCAATTTGACTGGATAGTACTGGTCATACTCCACAGTCCCTTCATGTCTCACTTCCTAATTGTTTGTATGTCATTAAAAAAGATGTTTATCTGAGCATTTGCAGAGGCGGCCTTTCCCTATCTCTGCCAATGATATCAGGACTCCCCAGAGTCCTGATATCATTGGCAGAGATAAATCTTTTGAGAAATGTTTTTGGAGATGGGCTGGAAACTCTGAAAAGGCCATATGGAGCCACTTTCTACTTTCCATAATGCACCTTATATATTTTTCCCCTCTAAAACCATGTTCTGATACTTTGGAACTAAAAGTAAATTCATAAGGAAGGTGAGCATACAGGTCATAGCTTCTCACCTTCATTTCTGTCACCTTCTACATGATGGTGATAGTCTGGAGAGGAGAGTCTTGACCATGTGAGAAGGCTTTTCACTCAGTCAGGAGCCCTGGCTCAAAAGATATTTAAAATGTAGTAGCAAGCAAGCAAGAAAAATGTTAGCATTTTTTTTCCTTAGGGTGGCAGGCTCCTCAGGAGTCTGTTAAAATCATTATGCTAGTGGGAACTGTTAAAAACTCAGAAGAACAAGTCATCAGATGAGCCACCAAATAAGTTTACATAATGGAAGTGGCACCACCACAGTCTCTGAGAGTCATGTCCATCTTACATCCCAATGTGGAACTCCAAGAGTTGAGTCTGAACCGGTGGTCTCAGTGATTGAGTGACTTCATAAGGAAGTAAGGCAGTCCTTCAAATTTCCTAGTTCTAGACCTAAAACCATCACTTTGAATTGTGGTCAGAAACAATTTGGTATCTAGGGAAGACTTTAAACAGATCTATGAAATCTTCTATTTGTTCATGTCTTGAAGGTGCATCTAATGTTCTCCCAACAGCTTTCTTAATTAATCAGTTAAACTATCTTTCAGAGTCAGCACATTACAATAGCCTAATTCGTATTTTCTTCAAAGGGGCCCCAAACATCATTTTAAGGCAAATTCCTGACTTAACATTTTTGAAGAAGCCATGTTAGTCTGTGAAACGACAAGAGACAAAAGCATTATGGCCTTTTAAGGACTAACTACTATATTTTAATGTGAATTTTTGGATCAAGTCCAGTTTTTCAATTGGAAAATTCTGGTGAGGATGTGGACTTGATCCATGAAAGTTCATATCAAAATATAGTAGACAATCTTTACAGTGTTACAACATTTTGTCTCATTTTTTTGTTTTCATTTTGTCATCTGATATTCTTGACTTAAAATGTTTTGGCTTGTATTTTATATGAAATCATGTATAAATTGTATGAACAGAACTGCTTAAAGATCTAAAGTCTTTGTATTCTCAAGGGCTTTCACAGCCGGGATCCGATAATTGTTGTAGGTTTTTCGGGCTGTCTGGACGTGTTATTGAGATTTTTCTTCCTAACATTTTGCCAGTCTCTGTGGCCGGCATCTTCAGAGGAGAGGAGTCAGAACTTTGCCTGTGCTCTGGTGTAGTTTGTGGGATAGTTGAGTTTTTCAGTGCTGGAAGTCAGGCATTGTTGAGACATGAACTTCTATTTCAAAACACAGAAGTACTGGTCAACACCAGCAATCATTATGCTAGACTGCACAGAGAAGCCATTGAAATCCACAAACACCAGCAGAGCTTCAACAAAAAGAAGAAAATCTAAAACTCAACAAAGCCTGGTTCCCAGCACTAAAAACACAGCCTGCAAAAGGTCAACAACCTCTACCCAGCCACAAGGACTGGTGATCAATGCACACCAAAGAACAGCTAACTACACCCATCAATCACAGTGACATATCATCTCTCCCCTTTATCACAACAATACACCGACAACAAAAAACATGCTGATCATCATAATCACCCAATCTCCTGAAAAGGACAAAAAGCTGATCTCACAGCTACAAACACTCAATTATCCCACAAACTGCACCTGAGCACAGAGTTCTGATTCCTGTCCTCTGAAGATGCCGACCACAGAGACTGGCGGAACATTAGGAAGAAAAACCTCAAGAACACAGCCAGACAGCCCAAAAAAACCTACAACAACCATCTAAGGTCTTTATTCACTAAAATTATCCTTCACTTATTTTAAAGGGAATGAAGAAGCTGTTCAAATAGAATATTTTTTAAACAATCAAATGAATATAGCTCAGCTGGTTGTCTTTTATTGTTCATCTACAGTCTGGATGTTGCTGAATATTCTTTGCAGCACCTTTGTCAAGATAACACATGGGATTTGTAATGTGGAAATTCTTTAATAAGTGGGACATGGCTGCAACAAAGTGTTGCAGGATGGACTGTCCCTTTTCATTCTGGACATCCATCTATGTCCTCTTCCAGGTTACTTCATTCCACCTCCCCTTTTCCACTATTTTTCTTGAACAGTAAACCTACCATGTGATCACAGAGTATGTTTAATCCTCTTTGGGCTATTTTGGGCAGTTATTTAGATCCCTCCCATCTCCAAATAACAACTTCCAGCATTCATTGGGAACAAAAAGTTTGTGGGTCTCAGAAATAGGTTTCTACCTGAGTGCTCTTGCACCAATTTCCTCTTCCATTCTCTCTCTCTCTTTAATCATCTTCTAATCATAATCTATAGTAAAGACCTAATTGGCAAATGGTGTCATACTGGACAAACTATGTCCAAATCATATTTTGACATTGGTTTGCCAGTTGTAGCTTGGATGTGTGTGGAGCCATAGTCATTCAGCTGAAATATCATGAAGCAACTGGAGAATGACATAGAAATTACAACATGTGTCAAGAGAAGGAAGGTGTGAGACCTTTACATGTTTCCTTCTTTCAAACCATAGCTTGTAGGATTATCTGAATCCATTATTTATGTTCAGGAATCTCCATTGTAGTAGCTGGGTTTCCACAGAATCTTTGAACATTTCTAAATATAAGATGTCTAATAATATATTTTAACAGACAGGTTGACTTTCAAATTTGCTTTACTAGGCTGCTGTCCTTTATTGGAATATTAATTGCATGCGGCATGGGAATTGGTGTAATTTTAAAATGATGAATAAATTTGGCTTTTTAACCTTGTGTAATTAACTTTATATATATACAGAGGAAATCAACTAATTACAATTTTCTTTTTGTCCTTTTGCTCTTGCACTTTGTTTGCTGCTTTTCTTTATCTTTCATCAGTCATCTTTGCTTGGCAGTGATTCATCACCTCCCTCACCATCTTCACAGTCTAGTCCCTCTGCATCTTCAACAAACCTCCGTAGGAGATGTAAGGAGAGTGCTCAAAAGCCATTAGATTGTGAATCATCCAAAAATACTGTTCAATGGTGTGGCGAGTCTGATGTGGACTCTGATAGAAAAGGAGGAAGAGTTTGTTCAGTTGAACAAGATATAGCATACGGTTGTAAGCAGAAAGCTGGTAAAGGTGGGACCTTGTTCTCCTTCTCCTTGCAACTTCCGGAATCCTTCCCCACTCTCCTGGATGATGATGGCTATTTATCCTTTCCTAACCTCTCTGAAACCAACTTTCTGCCAGAAAGTGTGCAGCATTTCCTTCCCATTCGCTCACCTTCCCTTGTGCCTTGTTTCCTTTTCATCTTTTTCTTTTTGCTCTCTGCCTCTTTCTCAGTGCCCTATGCTCTCACTCTTTCCTTTCCTTTGGCTATGTGCCTCTGCTACCTGGAGCCCAAGGCGGCCTCCTTGAGTGCTTCACTTGACAATGACCTGAGTGACAGTTCAGAGGAAGAGGTGTGTACCTCGGCACAGAACACACTTTTTTGTGTTCCTTGTTTCAGTCCTAAACAGTGTTAGAATGCTGCAAAAATGGTCCTACTTTCAGAGCCTCATTTCTGTCTGTGCTGATATGTTCAGAATTTTTGTTGTGTTGAGAGTAAAGATTGAGCCTCAGGGTTAGGCACAACACTATGTGTACAAGACTGTGGCTGTAATTTAACTTCAAGGTAGCTGATTCAGAATACAGGATCTTCTTTACTAGTGCTACTGTTTTGGTGCCTGTTCATAGCAAATAATTAGATACCTATTTCTATAGCCATAATCCAGCTGGATATTTAAACCAGACTAAGTACTGGTGTAAATTGAATAGTTGGTAATTAACAAGTCCCTAGTTGAAGTCTTAGAGTCTGACTACACAGAGGAAAAATGCAGGGAATACTATGGGTTTAGGGCAGACCGATTTGTATTTTTTCCTCATTGATCTCATAACTTGATGGCAAATCAGCCTAGAATCCCACAGTCCCAATTCATAGTTTTTACTCCTCACTAGTGATCCTTCTGCTTTTTAAAAGTCAAATCCTTTCACTTTGATTCAAAATGTGTGATTTGTTTTGAACTGATGCAGAAAAGAACAACCAACCAAGCATGTGCTCGCACACAAACCACACAGCCATGCTTTGGGAGGATGAGGAGAGCACACGTACAGACACATGCAGCACCAGCACTCACCTCTCCCCACAAAGCCTCTAATCCAAGACACTTTTTTAAAAAACAGCTTCTCGGTAGGGAGCTCCTGTTTATTTATTATTATTTTTTACTACTTAATAGCCAGATAAGATGAAGAAATGAGTGGATTGAGAAAAGAAAGGCTTCTTCAGATCAGCAGTGGAAAGCCTTTTTCCCTCTTAAGTGTGTGACCACTTACATTGAAGAGAAGCAAATGTTTTGATGTGACATCACAGTTAGATAATGCAAGTTATTTTGCATTTTCTTTTATGTGTAATCACACCCTTAGTCACATGCGAAGTCACACTGATATATTGCTGCAAATTCATTCAGGAACTTACTAAAAGTAAAGCAAACTGCTCATTAATTAGCTATTCTGCAATCGGAGTTACACCACTGCATTGCCCTGGTGTAAATATTCAGTTGGATTCAGGTCGCTACATTGTATATTCTAACAATATAGTTTGTCTCATTTTCAAAATTAGGATGAGGTTGAGAATTTTTGTGGAAGCCTTTTAAAGGCTATCTGAATCACTGTTGAGAAAATATATCCTGTCTTTGAAATGTTTGCTGTTCACTTTTGGTATTAGAACTTCATAGTAAATCCAAATGAGGTTTTATTAAAGTAGCCCCAAGTTAGGAGCAACAAAGGAAAACATGACTGTGGGATGTTTCTAGGTACCTGTCTTTCAATTACTGCCAAGAGTAGTGCTCTCTACAATTATTCACTTAAAATATTTTAAACAGTGCTCATAATTACAATGAAAAACATTTATGTGTTGATAATCACATAGTTTACTTTTTAACTAGATAGTTACCAGTTATCCACAGGATTACTGTTTTTACACTTCAAAATCTGAAATAGACTTTGCCATTCATATGGCTTTGTTTATCCCATTAAAAGAATAGTACCATATATACATGTTTTAATTTACCCATTTATTAGAATAGGGTTAGTAATCCAAAGAAATTATAATCTAAAAAGAGGATTTTGGTTTGTTAGAATAGGATTAATATTCCAAACAAATTAATAGCTGGATGGGGGAGGTAGGTATTTGGGAAGTCAGTCCAAATCAAGATTGTCTGGAAGTAAATCCCACTAAATTCAGCATGATATACAGCTACAGTGGGGTCTCGACCTACGGATTTAATCTGTATTGGAACGGAGTCCGTAGGTCGAAAAGTTCGTTGGTCGAACATGCATTCCCCATAGGAATGCATTGAAAACCTATTAATCCGTATTTGGCCCAAGAAACCCTCCCCCCCCACACACACAAATGAAAAATAAATAAAAAAAAACACCTTACCTTTCTGAAGTCTTCAAGGGGTCCGCCGCCGCCATCACTGTTGGAGGACTCCGAGGGCTTCGGCACTGCTGCCAGAGGCCTCTCGGAGGTCCCCCGCTGCACCCATCAAGGCTGCCGGAGGACTCTGAAGGTGTCGGTGCCGCTGCCAGAGGCCTCTCCGAGGTCCCCCGCCGCCGCTGATAGTGCTTCGGAGGCACTATCGGCAGTGGGGGGGACATCCAAGAGGCCTCCCATGGTGGCAGGGAAGGCCTTCGGAGATCCCCCACCGCCACTGGGAACCGAGCCGCGCCCGGCTATCCCAGCCATGGTTGGACTCCCGGGAGTTGGACCATGGCCGGGAAACCCGGCGCGGCGCAGCTTCAAGCGGAGGTGGCAGGGTAAGGGGGTCTGGATGCCTTCCAGTGCTTCGCCTGGAAGGCATCCGAACCCACCCTGCCCCCGCTGCCGCCGAGAGCCTTCTGAGCTCTCAAAGGGCTTTCTCCAATGTCGGGGGGAAAGCTCTTTGAGAGCTCGGAAGGAAAATAGGCAGTGAGAAAAATTGTCTCCCCAACTGCTTCATAGCCAGAAGCTCCTCTGTGTATCATGGATATACAGTGGATCCTTGACTTACGGAATTAATCCGTATTGGAACTGTGGCTGCAGGTCGAAAATTCCGTAAGTCGAGGATCCATTTCCCATAGGAATGTATTGAAAACCCATTAATCCGTAACTGGCCGGAGAAAAAAATCTGGGGCTTCCAAAGCTGCACCTGCTGCCCTCTGCTTTCTATCCCCACTGTCCTCTGCCTCACATTCCTGCGGGGACAGGAGGCAGAGGGCACCGGGGACAGGAGACAAGAGGCCAGTGGGTGCACCTTTCTAAGCCCCGAAAGCCGGCAACGGGTGCGGAACGGCTTTCGGGCAGATCGGCTTTCGGCCTTCAGAACTTAGAAAGGTGCACCCACTGGTGCCCAGAGGAGACAAGAGGAAAGTGGGTCCAGCTTTGTAAACCCTGAAAGCCCAAAGCAGGCAGCAGCCGCCTCCCCTCACTCTCAGCTTTGGAAGCCGAAAGCTGCTCTGCACCTGCTGTCAGCTTTGGGCTTTTGGGGCTTAGACCTGCAGCCTACGGACTGGAAGTGGGAGGCAGGGAAAGTGCCAAATTTGGATTTGGTGCTTTCCCCACCTCACCCTTCTGGTCCGTAGGTTGATTCTCCGGCCGCAAGTCGAAGTGAAATTTTGTGGCCGGAGAAGTCCGTAGGTCAAAAAGTTCGTAAGTGGAGCCGTTCGTAAGTCGAGACTCCACTGTAGTTAAAAGGCATAGGACTTGGGTGGATGTGGCAGATGTTCTGACAATGGCCTTGTAACATCACAACATGGTTTGCTGCTATGTAAGCCTGTATGCATTCCTTTTCCTCTGTTCCATTAGCTACACTTTAGCAGAAATCGCTGGTTACTCTGATGGTTGAACAAGAATATAGCGGCTTATGTTTCTGATTCAAAACAAGACTACAAACTGTAATCTGAGGATATTTGACAATATTTGTTTGGAGGGCAAATAGAAACCATAGACTGTCAGTTCAGAGGCCATACCAAATAATTTTCACTATTGCAAAGGTGACTAATAGAAATCACTCATGTATGGAATGAGGGAAAGCAGGGCAAAGTGCAGAAGCCCAGAATTTCCTAATGTAACACCAAATTATGACAGTATATTTGGACCAGCCCTATGACCATTGCTTATTGAATACATTACATAGACTTGTGCCTAATCCAAGGTGCTTTACTTGTTGGACATATTGCATGAAACTTTATTTTAAACTTGGGCATGTCTGCATTACATCAGCAAAACAAAACACAGCAGTTATTTTCATGAAAATCTAATGAACTGGAATTGATTTGCTCATTTAAAAAAAATTAAGACATTTTACTCTTTTTGGGGGGCAGCCTATTTCTGCTTATTAGTTCTAGCAGTAGGAAATAATTAAAAGTTCGAGCTGGTTGTCCGCCATTTGTTCAGCTTTCTAATCCTGTGAATATTTCCTCTTAGGGGTTGTGACCAGTTTATTTCACTGTTATCTATTCTGTTTCTTACTTTATTATACAAACAAGAGCATACCTTTTGCATTTTTAATCCTTGAGGATATCCAAAGACTTGCAATTAAACATAAGATCTTTGTTTCAGTTGGAAGAACTGATTTATTTAGATCCATACAGAACAACATCAAAAGACTTTGTGGTGGGGACTACGTTTGCGAATAATACTGTGGGGCAACCCTTCTGGTGATAAACATTTTGCACCAAGCAGGTTTTCAATATACAGATAATGTAGGTTATGTATGAGCGGATGAGCATTTCTGGAAGCTAATAAAGGCAGACAGGACACGTGAAAGGTTTCTAAAGTTAGAGACAGTTGGAAACATGCCTGGAGAGAAGTCTCTTTCTTCCCATGACATAAAGAAGTAACAAAACATGAAGCAGAAGAGACCTGTTCAGCACTACACAGGTAATTAAATTACTGGGTATGTCAAATCATCCAGGATCCTGTAGTGCAGCATATTTAGCATAACAGTTACTGCTACTCTAATAGAAATAAATGCAGTGCTGATAGAAGTACGATGATAAGGTAAAACTTACAGGAATTATAAGGTTTAAGAGTTACAAATAATTATTCTGCAGCTGAAATATTTAACATAGTTGAAATCATAACCAGTGGAGTTCCATATACATTTACTGACACATAAGCCATGTAAGATTTAATGAGAATTTCTCGCAGAAGATTGTATACAGAAAACCAATCAATACCAATGACAAAAACAAACATACATCCCCTGAATTTAATAAATAGGTTGCCAGGACAATTGGTTCCAAGAATCCTGGTGATTTTTAATATATGCAGGTACAGTATTTTAGTTGATGATTACCAGTGTGGTGTAGTGGATTGAGTGATGGACCATATAAAAAGAGACATCTTGTTGCTGTTATTATTGCAAAAGAAGAAGAAGAAAAAAGAAAAAAGTGATGATTACTCAAATTAAACGAGAAAACTTGATATTTGGGCATTTATGTTCTATTAATGCAACCTTATTGCAAAATATAGAGATTCCATAATCTCATACTACAGTATATATGGGCTAGCCTTATTATCAGGTTAACGAGGAGTATGAAAGGGACAAATTAGACAGTGGCTAAAATCCTGCTGCTTTAACTTATACCTTATACCATTGATGTAACCAGCCATGGCAGTTTTTCAGAAATTAAAAATTTCAAATCCCCCCCCCAATGTCCTGAGGTTCCTTTGAGATCTCTTTCATTGTGAGGAAGCCATGGGGGCCTGTGGGGTGGGTGGAGACGTCTTCTGTAAGGTGACAGAAAAGTATCTAACACAATCTTACAGCCATGTGCTACCAGAGATATTATACCAGATATATTTCTAATGTAAGCAGAATCAGTATTATTGAAATCTCTGTATAGCATTGAACTGCCTTTTTTAACTTTTACATGAGTATTTGTAAAATTTGAAAGACTGTGATACTCCCACCCCAATGCTTCAATAATTACTTTTAAATTGATTCTGCTGATATATTGTAGTGAATTCTAAAGCAGTATGAGCAGATATGTTCTTTAATACATTCTGAACCATCAGTAATTTAGGCTGAATAATGCTGTGCTTTGTTTCATTTGGATCATTTGTATTTACTAAATGTCATTATCCTTTTCTTTTCTAAATATATATATATGTATATATTTGTCATGTTCTGTACACTGGAATCAAAAAATATTGCTTTCATTTTTGTTTAATACTCCCTTGTATTTTTGGAATTAATTAATAGAATCTCTGAGCAATTGCCTGAGCAATTACAGATGTTGGTTGATAATTCATTGTAATTCTCTCAAAGGCAAGATATTGGAGATTCTGTAATCTGTAACAACTGTGCTTGTTGAAAATTTTTGGTAATGCAGACAGCCTTGCAGCCATTGCATACTTGAGGAAAATAAAATCTGTACAAATGAGGGGCTGAAAGTCTGGTGATTGCTAAAATAGTTTTGTAGATAAAAAGACAGATTACCTTCTGTCTTTTCCATTTCCAAATACAGATTAGCAGCGTTTTTGTATTTTTTTTTTCATTATAAGTCTGCTTTTTTGTTCATTTTAATGGAATAAGCCACCTGGCTTTCTTCTGAAAAATTAAACATCTCAAATACATACATTTTCTTCTAATACTTGGTTTGGCTAAGAGTGCTGAAATACAAAAGCCATAGACTTTGTACAGTATACCCTGACATTTCCTCTGAGTCTGGTCTGTGTTTTTTTCCCCTCAACACTTATTTTGCTTCTTTTAAATTGTCTGTCATTTGAAAAGCAACTTAAACGCAATTCACATGGATATAGACTTGGCAAATTAACCTGTGACCTAACATATACTTACAAACTGGATTTTTTTTCATTCTTGCTTGCCTTTTGGAACCCGGTTGCTTTTATAACAAAACAGACAGACAGTGAAAGGACAGATACTGCAGCTGATGGTGAAACCACTGCTACAGAGGTTTGTATAGCTGATTGTTACTGAAGAATGTTATGTGTACTTTTTACCCCTCAAAGCTCATATATTGGCATTGAAATGGAGCACCATATTTTTCAGCACACTAAATGCAAAATACATAAACAGATTAAATGTATGAAGTCCACATGGATAAATCAGGGCAGGGCAGGTGGCACTCTCAATGTTTTTAGATGGCAGCTCCAGTGATTCATTGTCATTGGCTATGTCAGTGGTTCCTAACCTCGGGTAACCCAGTTATTCTTAGATTATAATTCCTAGAAACCCCACCAAGCACAGCTGATGGTGAAGGCTTCTGGGAATTGCAGTCCAAGAACACCTGGGTTGTCCAAGGTTGGGAAGCACTTGGCTATGCTGATAGGAGTTGCCGTCTTAACATCTGAAGAACCATAGATGCCCACCCCGGATGTAAATACTTTGTAGTTAGCCAAAATATGTGGCAACTGGAAAATGTTTCGGGCTTCATGGATTGACAAGCACACTTCTCCCTTCAACAAGGTTAAAGGTACTGTACCTCCATGTAGTTCAAAATCCGTGTATACAGTAATTCTTATGCACCCAAAACATAATTATAAAGCATAAACAGTTGATTAACACACACGCATGCAGAATAATTCTCTCTATTGGGGTTCTCTTCCATAACACTGACAATCCTTTCTATACAGTACCATGTGCAATGAACCTTAAAGGTACTTATGACCTGCTGATTGTTGTGTTTGGGGGCAAATGTAGCACTTTTGACACCTCATGGGGTTCTGGGTGACCAGGGCCACAGTATTTATTGAATATTTGTTTTTTTGTTTATCAGGGGAAACATATATAACCAAAACCATGCTGTCTGGGCCTGTGCAATTCAAGGGAGAAATGTATTTTAAAAGCAAAAGCTGCTGATCAGTTCCCTTCATTACTTTGTACAGAGTTTTGTATTCTGGGATGTAAAAACTTTTTAATCCAGGAACCCAGTTTTATGCCATTTTAATCATCCTGCTAAATTGGAACATAGTTGTTTATCCTTCTTTTCATATTTCTGAATATCCTTAAACATAATAAAAGTATACTACAAATACTGTTCTACTGTGCAAAACACAGGAAACTGTTTTTGCAGTTATTTGAATGTCTGAAGATTTGTTCAATCCTTGTTGCATTGCACTCTACAAACTGTTTGTTCTATGCTCTGGAATAATGTAATTGGAACTATTTAGAACATGTCTGCCCTATGCTGCTGACCCTTTGAAGTTCCCTACAAGATTGGGGTTGTTATCATAATTATTGCTATATTTATGTATAGTATTGTATACTTTGTATATGAATCTTTTTATGACACAATTATGAATGCAGGCATGATGATATTTTTTTATATGTAAGATAATTTTTTTTCTTTAACAGTCTGACCAGGAAGAGGATGGTGATCTCAAGGCACAAGTAAGTAAAAGAATGTAGTGTGAGGGGGTCTGTGGCTACACTTCCCTTTGGTATGATATTTCAGAGTGTTGCCTAGATCAGCCTTTTGCAGTATTCCAATATTATTGCCCTTACTTTTCCCTTTCTCTTTCACTTTTTTCAGAGTAGTCTGATTAAGCGCATAAAGGGTGAAAATGTGTATGTCAAACATAGTAATCTTATGTTAGAGGTTGGTATTGGTATATGCCAATGCATGTACTGTATATGTGTTTTGAACCTAGTGATTAAGCTGTGGATCTGCACTATGATGCATGAGATGTGTATTCTCACTTCCTAATAAAACCAGTCTCTCTTCTGAGATAAGGACTTGCTGTTACACTTTTGTTAGGATTCTGTTGTGTATGTATGTAGAGATGTGTTTTTTTTAAAGTCTCTTTACTAGGTAGCTGTTAGAATGTGTGAAATCTTGACTATACTGAAAGCATTTGACGGACACACAAAGGAGGACAATTTTACACATTGCATTTTAAAGGGTTCCCATAAAATGTTTTCCATATACAAATACATATGTATATGTAAAAATATAATGAATTAATGCAGTAAACATGGAGTTGCAAATATATATGTAAAAACAGTAGACTTGTTAGGGAATTGGGATTGGCTGCATATGTCAGATCAGTGAACACCCAGGGGCAAACCGTAGTTCGCCAGAGTGTAATGTGTGAAGTGTCCTGAGAGTTCTTGTGCAACAGTCCTTCAAAATACTAGTTTTCCCAAGAGTGTTGTGTTAGTACTGTGAGACCTAAACCCATCAAGGCTTCTTTTGCTGACTAACTTACATGATTTGATTGTTTTGTATCAAGATAGAAAAGATTACAAAAGTTGCTTTCCCCCCTCAGGAACTAGATAAAAATCAAGAAGATCTGATGAAACACCAGACCAATATAAGTGAGCTGAAACGGACATTCTTGGAAACCTCCACAGATACCTCAGGGACCAATGAATGGGAGAAGAGGCTTTCAACATCACCAGTCCGGCTCGCAGCAAGACATGAAGAGGCTCCTATGATTGAACCACTTGTGCCTGAAGAAGTGAGTCTTTATCTTTCTGCTTTTCAGATTTCCTGGCCCAACAAAACTCACATGAAAGTGATGGACTCAACTAATTTCACTTCAAGTTGGGACAAATTATTAAATCAGGTTGCATTACATAATAGCTTAGTGTGTGTAAAATATATTTACAGTGGTGCCTTGATTTACAACCATAATCCGTTCCAGAAGATGGTCGTAAATCGAAATGGTTGTAAATCAAATCAACATTTCCCATTGAAATGCATTGAAACCCATTTAATCCATTCCAGCTGTTTTTTGGTTGTATGTAGAGGCGGCAGTTGCAAATTGAAGCATTTGTTTCCATAGGAACTAATGCAAAAGCGGTTAATCCATCCTCTACCACTTTTTCTTCTTTTAATTTAAGATGACTTAGGTTTAAAAAGGGCAGGAAATGAAGGAGGGTGGGAAGAAACAGTGAGGAAAAGAGGAAAGAAAGGTCATCACTGGGGCACACAGACTCCTCAGAAAAGGTTTGTGCTGTTAAGCATAAAAAGAAAGAAGACAGAGAGAGAGAGAAGACAATGGGTGGGTGGGGGGAGTTTGGAGTCTAAAACACTTTTTAAACCAAGCACTTTTAAACCAAACACATTTTAAACCGAACCAAGCACCTTTTAAACAAAATACATTTTAAACCAACCCAAGCACCTTTTAAACAAAACACATTTAAAACCAAACCAAGCACCTTTTAAACAAAACACATTTGAAAACCAAACACCATTTAAAACCAAACACATATTAAACCCACCCACCAAGACCTTCCAGCAAACAGACCCCCTCAGCACAAAAACAGCACACACAGAGAGAGAAGACAATGGGGAGGGAACTTGAGTCTAAACCCCATTTTACACCATGATTTTAAATCAAAAAGACTTTGGACTCACATTTGAAACCCATGCATTTTAAAACAAAAGAGAGGTCACAGTACACAAACCCTAGGAGCCACAGAATGCAAAAATGAATAAATAAAATTTACATTTTAAAATTACAGTCTAATTTTCACATTTAATTTTAATTTAATATTACAGTCTACTTTTCACATTTTAAATCCACACTGCAAGACTCATCAGAGCACATAAACATAACCCCCCACCTAGCCCAGTCTCTCTGTTTTAAAAAAGAAATTCAAGCATCCAAAAAGCAACCAACCCCCCCAAGACCCATCAGAAATGGGGGGGACAAAAAACCCACAACCCCCCCAAGACCCATCACAGCACAGAAACATAACTTCTCCAGCTCAAAGCCATGCTGCAAAAACACCAACAGTTTTTTAAAAGCAGAAAACAGCACCTTACCTCCCTGCAAACACACACGCTTACTCCAAAGCAGAAGGAGACACACACTCTAACTGCTGGGAGAAAGAGCTACGAAGCAGCTTCGTCGCCATCTACAGCTAGAAATTTGAATTTCCCGCCTTTTTCCCCTACCTTTTTCTGTTTGTAAGTGGAAGATGGAAGAAATTTATCGTTCTAACCATTACTTCAAGCCAGATCCTATAAAATCATTGATCAGAAGATCAGCCAGTTCCACAAGTTATGACAGAATTCTCCTTCTGGGTGTGTGTATGTGTGGGGAATTTCCCATTCTGTTTATTGCTGATTCTTTTTATTGTAGGCAAGATTAGTGAAATATATGAAGGTATCAAAACATTCATCTGATTCATTTACTTTAACAGATTTAATGTGATGGTTTTAAAAATTTGGTTAGGATTTTTCATCTTGGATTATTTTCTCTTTTTGAAAGTGTGTCACTGCCCCAAATCATTTAGCTCCATCTATAACAGATAGGGACCAAAAACATTCATATTTCAGTTACAGTTATTAGCAGAATTTCTGTTTATAAAATTTCTCTGTCAGCTTGGATCATTGTGAAAATGTAGATAAACCAAAAAAATGTGTAATTTTAAAAAAATCTTACAAGAGGTAGCCATGTTAGCTTGTGCTAGCATATCAGGCAAAAAACAAAAAAAATTAAAAATAAAGAAAACAAAATGTCAGACAAAAGACTAACTGCTATATTTTAATGTGAACTTTCATGGACAAGTCTTGATCCTCTATATGCCAAAAATTTTAGAAGAAACTTTCACAAAGAGTGAACTAACTATGAAGGCCATATCAGGGTATTGTTATGGAGCAACCAAACAAAAAACAGATAGCCAAATAGGTCTATAATTATTTAATTGCATTACTATTTAATAATCAGTTGGGAGACATGGCGCTGTAGGACGTGGTGGCGCTGTGGGCTAAACCGCAGAAGCCTGTGCTGTAGGGTCAGAAGACCAAGCAGTCGTAAGATCGAATCCACGCGGCGGAGTGAGCTCCCGTCGCTTGTCCCAGCTCCCGCCAACCTAGCGGTTCGAAAGCATGCAAATGCAAGTAGATAAATAGGGACCACTTCAGTGGGAAGGTAACAGTGTTCCGTGTCTAAGTCGCACTGGCCATGTGACCACGGAAGATTGTCTTCAGACAAAACGCTGGCTCTATGGCTTGGAAACGGGGATGAGCACCGCCCCCCAGAGTCGAACCCGACTGGACAAAAATTGTCAAGGGGAACCTTTACCTTTACCTTTACCTTAAAGGACTAAAGGCCACGTTTAATTAATGAAAAATGAACATCCAGAATAAAGCCAAAATCTTTCTTAGAGAATCAGCTTTCCAAATGGCCCTTGACTCTCTTGGTTATGGCTGCAGAAGCCCTAAGGGAAATTAGCAGCTAGACACATTATCTATAGAATGTTATTTCTAACACAGACAGGTACGTAGACATTGTCCAGCAATATATAGCCCAAGTCAGTGAAGAGTTAGGCATGTCTAAAACCACTCGTCAGCTCAGAAAGAAGCAGGACTGATTCTATATGCAAATCTGAAATGCTAGCCATAATGGATTTGCTTTTTCTTATTGCCTACAAATTATCTGTCACTTTGTCAAATCTATCCTTACTTCAGGTAAAATAGATCAGTGAGTTATAGTTGTAACTATATTAGAGCAAAAAGAAAAGGAATGTTGTGAATTTCACACAAGGCTATCTGCTAAGTAAACCCCATCTGCCTTTTAAACTTCTACACCTCTCGATCCCTTTTGTTTATTAGACCAAAGAAGAAGGAGAAAAGTCTGAAAAACGTATATATTTACAGAAGGAAACCACTACATTCCTTGATTCTCAGGTAAAAAAAGCAAAGCATGCCTGCTTATTATTCACACAAGTTACATGTGGTGGCACTGACTCTGGTTTAATAAGCATATCACATTACTTTTAAAAGAACATTTCTTTTTAAGAAAATCAGTGGGTAGTAGAATTGTGGACTGAAATTCTGGAAAGTTCAAATGAATATCAGTGCAAAGATCTCTTGAGATCTTTTTAAGATTTATTCCTGTGTAGCCTAGATCATGATGAGTCCTGGTTCTGGGAGTAAGACAGAATATAAATAAAAATGAATAAATAAATGTATAGAACTTAGAAGCCGCCCTCCCTTTTTTGTATGTGTTCCCTGCTCATGCATTTATTTGCATATTTAAATGTTACACTGAAAAGACTAAATGAAGCAACAGGCTATTGTTATAAGAAAGAATTCCCTAAATGATGTCAAAGTGATTAATTTCTGATTCACACATTATTGCAAATATATTTTCCAGAATATGTGCATCTGGTAAAGTAGTTTTTCCCTCCCAAGTTCTAAGAAGGAGGTGCTGGGTAGCACATACGGATGGATGCACATATGCAGGTTCTTCCATTTACCTTTCCTCTGCAAACCTTCCCTCCCTGCTGAAATCTAGAAACCAACAGGGATAGAACTGAAGGCGTTAGAAACAGAACTGAACTCCCACCACCCAGTGGTCTTCTCTGAGATGGTAAATCATGTCAGAGAAATGGTGATCTTGAAAGGAGAGAGCAGCATTTTTTTTCCTCTCACACCCAACCTGATCACTTTGTGAGAAATGAGTGGAATCCCCGCCATGTCGGGACAAACAGCAAGAGGCCAAGGTAGTGTGTATACCCATACTGTGGGTAAAGTTCAGTCCCACCTTCCTCATTCATTCCTCTTTCTCCTATCATTCACATATTTGAAAACTGGCATCTGCTCCTAGTGGATGCTTTCTCTGCAGAGTGCAATACTGCATGAAAATGAACATGTGCCTGTGGTAAAAGCATATTTTTGAGCAGAGAGCCTGCAAAAACTCAAGAATACTATTGGTCTCCCCTTTGTTCTCTTGCTGTGTATGTAGGCAGGATGGGAAACTAGTGAGTACATGTCCATATGTGCAGATAAGTTCTACAAGATCCAAAGGAAACATACCCTAGTTGGAAAGTTTGGTTGGAAATGCACACTGACATTATCTGGACTGTCTAGTGTGTGCTGAGAGAAGGAAACAAACAGATTAAAATGGGTCTTTCATATACCCTTATAGAGAAGGATCATACCTTTGTATTTATTTTGTTGAAAAAGCCGTTATGTAGAGCAGCTGTCAAACGTTATCAAGTGCTAGAGTAATGAAAATGTGTAAAGTGTCTAACTATTAGCTGGATTAAGTCTGAGGAACTTAATTCCAGATTTTATCTGGAAAAGGAAGAATTCATGTGTGGTCTCATCTCATCAAACTAATATCCAGAAAACTGTCCCAATCTTTCATTAATTCATGCAAGTGGACATCCTGATTAAAACTCCACAGCATGTCTCTTGATGAAAAAAAAAGTCCAGAATAATCACATACAAGTCTTAGGCTGCTTTTACTTAGCACTTTTCTTGTGCCTACAATATGGACATTTATAGATCCAGATACAGTATGAGACTCCTCTACTTGTAATTCTCCCATGTTTTTTTCATTGCTTCTTTGGCATTTTTTATTTCTTTAAAAGAGTGTGAAGGAAGGGAAGACTGAATAGATACATAATACTTTTTGGTTGGTATTACTAGGTGTTCTGGTAGACAGTATGTTTACTTGGAAGTAGTATGATTGATTGTCTAGGAATGCATACTTGGGTCCGAGTCCTTGAAATCTGATGTACTGAATAGCTGATAGTAAAGTATTGTAAACCAATGAAAATTGTCAGAAAGAAATTTTTGCAAGTAAAAATATGTAAGATGTCTTTAGACTCCCAGTAGGATAGAATGCAGAAATGTATATGTTCTCAAGATGGCTACCATGATTTCTTGAAAGATTCTATATGTTAGTTTCTTGACACACAGGTAAAGAATTAGTTGTTCTAATTTAGCTTTTATATTTCAAATATAGGGCACTGAGGATTGGGTTATTGTAGACAAAGTACCCGTTGAGGTAGTTGATGGTGAATCGAAAACCATTGTGACATACAAAGTAATGACTGTGAGCAGTAAAGCGGGTGACATCTCAACTGAGCTGTTAAAATCCAGTACCACTGGCATACAGAGCTTTGAGGACTTGGAGAGTGAATTGCAGTTGAAAGATGACAATAAGCAGAAAATGTATACCCTAGGAAAATCCTACGATACTGTCTCTGGGAAAATTGTAACCATGACCACTAAAATAAAAGAGGGAGAAAAAATTGTGCCATCGTCACTTGAAGTATTTCAGAAAATGGAAAAGGCAGTGCCAGAATCTGTGAAAATCATTCCAGTAATGGCTGAATATGAAATTCTAGAACCAATTACTGACGAGAAATCCAGAAGATTATCTGATTCAAAAAGAAAGGTATCTGAATCCTTAACACCCATTAAAGAGGCAGATTCTCGTCTACAAAGTCCTGAAGATGAAAGTGTGAAGAAGACACTAAAGATGGACCAAGATTTGCAAATACGTGATACACAAGAGAACGTGCAGATTGCCAAAGCTGAGAAACCTTTTGACAGTGAAAAATTAAAAGGAGAGGCATTGGGCTGGAAAGATAAGAGTATATCTGAGTGGAAATATTCCCGAGAACCACCTTTTACCATTGCTACTGCTCACTATGTTACTGAATCATCAGCATCAAGAGTAGTGGTAACATACAACTTTGCCAGCGTTTTAAAATAAAGCATGACTTTTTTAAGGCAACACCCTCACCACCCTGCCTTTCAGTCCTTTTGCTGCTTGGCTTTATGTTGACAACAGCCAGCCCAGCTTCTTATTATTTCATCATGATTTAAGTCAATTAACACAATACAAAGCAGGCATTTTTTAGGCTTTTAAACTTTTTAAAGAATCATTATCACTAAAACGTAATATGCTGCTGTGGCTTGTTTTGAAAGGAAAAATGCTTCACAATACCAGCAAAATCCTAGCGCTAACAAGTTTGCTGTTTTAGATTACTGCTTATAGTCATTACAGACTTGTGCTAATTTATTTTCCCATTATTTTCCTCCCTATATCCCTGCCACTTCTCCTCCTTTCCTTTGTCTTTGTCTCTGTTTTTGTCAATTAACATAATCTTCATGTGTTTGTGTCTGCTTCTCTTTGTCTGTGTGACTTTACATTTCTCTGTCTATTTAGAAAAAACAAGTCTCCGGTGAAAAAACTTTGGATGGGTCTGATATCTTCACTTTAATAGAATCTGCAAGAAAACCAACTGAGTTCATAGGAGGGGTTACACCTACTTCACATAGCTGGGCGCAGGTGGCCATTCGATTCCATATTTAGATTTTAATTATTTGAGTTTGGGAAGGTTTTTTTGTGTGGTTGTGGTGGGATGGGCTTTCTTGCACATAAATATATTCATTCCCCATTCATAAGAAAGCATTCTCAGAATCTGCATGCTAGGAACTTTCTCCTTTTAGATTTACACACACAAAACCTGAGAAGGAATGTGAGTTTGTTAGTTTTAAGGAGAGATGGAGTGTTGTTTTGTTCAATTATACTACCATCTAGTCTTTGAGAATTCAAGCTAATACCTTGTATAAAGGATAAAAGCAAGGAAAACAGTCAGTCAAATGTAGTACAGTATTCTTCAGCTGTGTATGTCACATAGGTTTTTGATACTAAGTTTTTCCTCTGCAGAGAACAGAAACAAAGTCCAGTCAGGAGATACTTCCTACTGAAAAGATGTCAGAGGAGGTGCAGAAGCAACAACTGGAGGCTGCAAAGAAGGTTGTGCAGGAAACTGCTATGGTCGAAGAGAGACATGTGATGAGTGTGCATGCAAGTGGGGATGCTGCTAAATTGGCTGGCGTTCACCTGGATGCTGCTGCACAGGCAATGTCTGATATGGCTTCTAGCATCAAAGGGAAGGAGGGTGCTGCTGTGACTGAGGGGGCTAAAGAGATAAAAAGGCAGGAGGTGCCTGCAAAAGCTGTAACCAAACAAGAAGAAACTGCTACTGTTTCTCATGCTCAGGAGAAGGAGGAGCATAGTGGAACAGCCCACATTGTGGATGCAAAGGAAAGAAAACCTCTTTTTGAGGTAATTAATATCTCACTAGCCATTCTGCATAAAAGCACAAATTGATGTCCTCTTTAAAATTAAATTGTAATGGCGTGTTAGCTACATGCTAGGCTGTCCTTATGAGCAGTTTGTTTCTTGTCTTAGGATAGCTGTGATTGTTTCCCATTTTGATGGCTTTCTTGTAGTCAAGCTGAGAGTTTAAACTACATGGACACAGTTGTATGCAGTGACTAGTATGTGTTCATGAGGTGGAATACATGTGACAACATATATATGGGTATGCAAGCCGCATGTCTCCATCGATGTACATTCACATGTGAAGCAGCCTACATCTCCTCCCTTGCATGGCAGTCTTGAGGCTTGTTGCTGGTTTCACTTCTAGAAAAACCCACATTTTTGGCATTGTGCATAGCGCAACTTATAAACAACAATGTGTATTGCTGAGGTACCATATTGGTACGGCGATATAAAAACTTTAAAAGAGCCAAGCCCAAAGCATTCTGTCCATTCAGTAGTAAGTCAGCCGCCTGTGAGAAGCCCAGAAGCAATACTTGAATGCAGTAGCACACTCCCGCTCATGTTCCCCAGCAACTGATAGGAATATTGCCTCTAATCTTGGAAGTAATATACTTCCAAAATGGCAGATAGTCAGCTTTTCCTGGAGCATAAAGATCTGGTGTGATGCTGCATGGAAATACTAGCATCTGTAGCTTTATGCTATGTATGCAATAGGTTTTTCCCCATGCTTGCCAAAGTTGAGAACTGCCTCTACTGTATAGATTAGTCTGCTCATTTATGGGAGCCCTCAGTTCTCAAACCTTTACTCATGCCTTTAATCTTGCATGAACTGTTTAAAGGAAAATCTGTGTATGTGATCCTGAGCTATAATTAACTGAAAACGGAGGTAAGTAATTCCATAGCTGTCTGCTCTCTAAAGGTGATGCTTCATAAATACAACCCTAGTCTAGATAGCTATTTAGTGCTGCTGATATGTGTATGATTTCTTATAGTGTATGATATTTTTGTTTCTCTCATGCAGTAGCAGAGTGCATTAATTTATCTTCTAACTCTACACTTGCTATAAAAATTATAATGTATCCCAAAATTACTTCTTTTTTTCATTGAAACAGTCACCAATTGTGAAGACTGAGACAATCAGTTTTGGCAGTGTTTCTTCAGGTGGGGAGAAGTTGGAAATTTCTATGAAGGAGGTTCCTGTCGTTCACACTGAAACAAAAACTATAACATATGAATCATCTGAGGTAATCATTCTTAGATGAGTATGAAATTATATTGACCTGGACTAAAAAGCCTCCTCCAATATAGTTTTGTGTAAGAAAGATTCTAGGAAGTGGGATGAATACCATTTTTTATTATTAGTATTATTATGTTATTGTTATTGTTATTGTTATTGTTATTGTTTGTTATTGTTATTGTTATTAATTAGCACTTGTAGATAATATTGAAATGGTTGAGTTAGGCAAGTAAATTGTGTGTGATTTTTCAGTTGTTATATCAGTGATTCATATCAGACTTTTTTACGAATATTATCTGAATTATAAAAATATTGCTCACTAAGTTATTTTACTTTGCAATACATTTTTAATTTGTTTCTTAATACTGAACATATTGCCATTCCTTCTATGTGTTGAATACTCAAAGAACATATATTTTAAATAGCAGATTAAAATAAAAAAATTGCTAACTATATGGTAATTTTTCACTACATATAGTTTTTCTTCCTCAGGTGGATGCTGCTGCTGACTCTGAACCTGGGGTTCTGATGAGTGCACAGACCATTACATCTGAAACTACCAGTACTACAACTACTACACATATCACCAAAGTGAGCCTGCTTTTAGAAGTCTGCTTTTCAAACACAACTTTCATTTTTATATAATGTTTTGAAATATCTGTGTATTCACTATCCACGGTTCTTATTTAGATATATAAGCTGTACAAGATGGATCAATTTATAAGATTGACATGCCACTTTTTAGCTCTTAGGGAAAGGGATGGGGAATCGCTTTTTCAACAAGCCTGACTGAGCCTCCACAGGTCCCCCATTTTGCTCACAGAATTTCATTCCCAATCTCCTCCCCTGTCCTGGTCTTCATGAGTCACCCACATATAACAGTTTCTATTTACACAGTGTTTCACTTGGGGTGACAAGTGTTGCTTGCATGTGCTAAGTCCTAAGGGCAGAATTGAACTGACTCCTGGGGTTGATTACTAAGTAAGTTCTTATTTGTGGTCCCTGTGATTTACACCAAACGGTTTTTCATGCTGCACAGACATCTTCAGAACGTTAACACCTACTCTCTAGTGTGCATGCTCTTCACATCAGCACTTATCGCCAGTACCCTTTAGAGGAAACCTCTTTGGAAATTCGTAGTTTCTGTATTTACGTACCTTTTCTTACCTACTGTTCCAGTTTTCATCTTCCCTTTTGTCACTGTCCTTCTCTTTTAAAAAAAAATTATTCCTATTTGTCTCTAGAGACTTTTCTGCCTTTGATGACCTCAGCAGATCTTTTGAAAAGTGTATCTCCTGTAACAACAAGATATCCCATCACAGATGGACATTCTATTGTTTGGGCAAATAGCATCAGATGCAGCATCAGATGCACACCTGCAAATTTTGTAAAAAATTTTTTTACTGAAGTTGCAGTTAAAAATGAGCAGTCTAAGCCAGCCATTCTCAACTCATTTTCTGGCCATAAACAAAACACAATGTGAAAAAATATATAGGGTTCTATAAATTGCATAATGCACCTTATAAGGTGGCATGTAAAGACTTGTTTCCAGTCTGTTGTTGCTTAGTCATTTAGTTGTGTCTGACTGTTTGTGACCCAATGAACCAGAGCACGCCAGGGGGGGTCTTCCACTGCCTCCCAGAGTTTGGTCAAATTCATGTTGGTGGCTTCGATGACACTGTCCAACCATCTCATCCTCTATCGTCCCCTTCTTCTCCCGCCTTCACACTTTCCTAACATCAGGGTCTTTTCCAGGGAGTCTTCTCTTCTCAAATGGCCAAAGTATTGGAGCCTCAGCTTCAGGATCTGTCCTTCCAGTGAGCACTCAGGGTTGATTTCCTTTAGAATTGATAGGTTTGTTCTCCTTGCAGTCCGGAAGACTCTCAAGAGCCTCCTCCAGCACCACAGTTCAAAGCATCAATTCTTAGGCGGGCAGCCTTCTTTATGGTCCAGCTCTCACTTACATACATCACTACAGAAAAAACCATAGCTTTGACTATTCAGACTTTTGTTGGCAAGGTGATGTCTCTGCTTTTTAAGATGCTGTTGAGGTTTGTCATCCCTTTCCTCCCAAGAAGCAGGCGTCTTTTAGTTTCGTGGCTACTGTCACCATCTGCAGTGATCATGGAGCCCAAGAAGGTAAAATCTGTCACTGTCTCCATCTCTTCCCCTTCTATTTGCCAGGAGGGGATGGGATCAGTGGCCATGATCTTAGTTTTTTGGATGTTGAGCTTCAGACCGTTTTTTGCACTCTTCTCTTTCACCCTCATTTCAAGGTTCCTTAATTCCTCCTCACTTTCTGCTTTCAGAGTGGTATCATCTGCATAGCGGAGATTGTTGATATTTCTTCTGGCAATCTGAATTCCAGCTTGGGATTCCTCGAGTCCGGCCTTTCCCCCTTCAAATGTGCCAGGGCCCCCCAAAGGCCATATGGCTCCCATTAAGAATGGCTGGTCTAGGCTACAGTCCTACTTGTGGGAAACTTACTGATGTAATTGGTATAAAACATGCAGGGACTTGTAACCATGATTATTGGAACCTGAATGACCTTGACAGATACCAGAGCAATCTGTCTGCTCTGATTTCAGATCAACATCAGAGTCCTTGGTTCTGACATAGAAACCCCTTTACCAATGTGCAAATTATGACCAAAAACCACCTGCCTACTAGAATGGAGTCTCAGCTCCAAGAAGCAGGAATGGAGTGATTCGACATCAAAATTCCAGGTCCTGGCCATGCAGGCAGGAAATCTATCTCAGTTTTGACAACAGCTTCAGATTTTAGATCACCAACACCAATCTCCTCTAGTCAGCTATCTCCAGAGATCGAAGGCCACACTCGATGGAAGGTGCTTCAGCTTCATGTGCTTCATGTTTTCGCCACACTCGATGGAAGGTGCTTCAGCTTCGCCTAAGGTAAAGGATAAGCACCACTCTCATGTTTTTGAAGCCAAGCCAACCTCTACTGCCTCATATAAACCAAACATAGGCACCACCATCATGTCCTTGAAACCAAACAGACTTCAAAAGGCAAACACTATCCTTATATCTTTGATATTGAATTGACCTTGGTTAAACCTAAACTAAAAAGGGACAAAAAGGGACCTACAAAAGGTATATAAAACTCATGTTACTCACCCTGTCTCGATATCCACCTCCATAGGATGAGAAAAGTGTGACTAATGTTTGGGTAGCCCTGTGGCAGAAGAACAGAAAACCACTAGTGAAAGACATCAATCCCAATTTTTTTGATTCTTAATATGGTTCCTTGGAAGAGTCAGCATTAATATTAGACACTACACTGGGACCAGACATTGGTGATACAAAGCCTCCCTCTGTATCTAAAGATCATGTTCTTGGCATAATTACCAGGTGGCCATTGGCGCCTAAAAAAATTGTGGAATAAGATACAATCACTCTTTAACACCCTGTCAGAGGACAAAAAAATTCTGGCATTAATGTTTCAATAAGAAGCCAAAAAACAAACTGGCAAGAACCACTGGTTTGGTGGTTCATGTCCAGCTCTAATGGAGATCAAGAAGTTCAAGATGGTGGCACTAGCAGTGATATTACTCCTCTTCATAGAAAGGGAACTGGTTTGCTGCAATAGACTTAAAATATACTTATTTTCACATTACCATCTTCTTGGATCATCAACATTTTCACTATTTTGCTATGGACACCAAAATATTCTAATTCAAAACACTCCCTTTTTGTCTTTCTATGGCAGCGATCCCCAACCCCTGGTCCCCGGCCCGGTTGCAGTCCCTGGCCTGGGCCAGACCGGGCTGCTGAGACTGCCCCCCCATGCACACTCGCCCCTGTGCTGCCTGTTTGTGCCTATGCGTGCTCTCCGGCTTGCCCACATGACCGCCACGCCGCCATTTGCGCATGCGTGTGGGCGCGAGGGGCCTGCACGAGCACGTGCCACCATTTGTGGATGCGCATGAGCAATTGTGTGCATGCGCAAATGGAAGCATGTGCTCGTGTGGGCCCGCACGTGCCCCCACGCATGCGCAAATGGCAGCGCACGCTCATGCAGGCACACGCCCGCATGTGCATGAGAGAGTGCTTGTTCATGCGTGCGCGTGAGCGCGGGGGGTGCCCCGCCTGCCCCAGCCAATCCACGGACCAGAAAATGTTAGGGAACACTGTTCTATGGCACCCCAGCTTTTCACAAAGTGTAAGGCTCTCCTTGCAGTGTACCTGAAGAATCTATGACATAACTGTGTTTACATACATATACAATTGGTTATTCATGGCAGATTCAAAGGTAAAGGTCAAAAAGATATTTCCTTCATTTTGCAGCTCCTGTCAGATCTCAGCCTTCAGATATATTTTAAAAGTCACATTTGACACCGAGCAGAGTCATTCAGTACACTGGAGCAATCCTAGACTTTAAATCAACAAGGGAGTATTTATATCACAACAGAATAAATACTGTACAATAGAAATTGGCACCAGAATTCAAGGCGAAAGTGTTGATAACTGCATACACAGCACAAAGACTGTGATCTCACATGCTTGCCTGAAGATGAGGTCTCTTTAAAACTGGCATCTCATGTCATTCACATAGTAACAGAGAACAACATTAAAAAGTCATGACTCCAGAACCAGTGGAACAATTTCTTTGGTGGACTAATTCACCAAACATGACCATTCAAACAACCACAATTCAGCACCTTAATAAAAATGGATGCAAGTATCACAGAATGAGGAGCCCACTGCAGGAATAATCAGATCCATGCCCTATGTTCTGAAGCAGAGAAAAGGCTTTACATAGACAAACTCAAAATGTTAGCTGTAATAAAGGCCTTCAAGGTGTTCAAACCTATGATTGTCAGACAAATACTGCAAGTCACCACAAGCAATACCACCACAATGTGCTATGGAAATAAGCAGGAAGGAACCCACTCATTATCATTTTCTACCTTACGATCCACCTATAGGACTGGTGTGTGCAGATGCATATTCTCCCTGTATCTGTCTATACATATAGCAGGGGACGGCAATCAGATAGCGGATCTTCTGAGCAAATGAAATCTGAGATTCATGAGTGTGTACTGTCCCAAACTGTATCTGAGGACATTTGCAACCACTGGCGTCATCCCACTCTCTATCTCTTTATAGCTGATTCCAAAAAGAAATCTTCTGTTTGTGAATCTTCTGTTCATGAGCCCAGTTGTGGTGAACGCTCTCTCAGTGATGCTTTCATAGTCAAGTGGACAAGGAGACTACTATATGCCTACTCACCAGTTGTACTTCTCCATAGGATAATAGTTAAACGTCATCAAGAAAGGGCCAATGTGATCTTCATTGCTCCATAGTGGCCATTCCAAACCTGGTTCACAATCCTAAGACTCATGGCTTCAGACATCTACCACCTACCAGTAACACCAGATTTGATAACTTAGAACAGGGAGTTAATACATCACCTAGACTTAGCGCGACTGAAACCTGATAGCTTGGAGAATTTTCCATTGCTAAAAAGAATTATACTGGAATGCAGGAAACCGTCCACAAGATGGTGTTATAATTACAAGTGGAGAAAATTTGCTCTTTATGCTAAATTATTAGGTGAATCTTTTCAGCAGCCTTTACTGCATTTTGTTTTACACTTCTTGCTACAGTTAAAGTAAAGTGGCCTAACATAGTCATCTGTTAAAGTCTTATCTGTGAGCAAATCTGCATCTCAACTCTTTTCAAACCCAACCCTTAAGAAGTTTTAAACAATTAATGAACATATACCTTGATGTTAGACCACCAGTGCCACAGAAGTCACTAGCATTGTGAGGAAGGCCATTCTGCCAGAGCAGATGCTGCCTCCATACCATTCCAGAGGAGTGTTCTGATGTCTGATATCTACAAAGCTACAACATGGTTTCAGTCATTGATGTCCGTTAAACATTATATATTCGATGTTAGAGTGAACTCAATGCTTCATTTGGTAGTGCAGTTATCTATTCTCTTATTGCATGACATCCCACCAGCCAGTAAGTGAGCTTGTCAGTCACCCATTGGTAATAATCACAGATATGAAGAAAAATGACAGGTTTTTACTTACTGTTGTTCTTTGGATAGTCTTCTGTGAATTCACATAATCCACTCATCCTCCCCTCAGTCTGCCACGCAACTCCTGCTTTTATTTCAGCGACGGGCTAGGGGAACTAAGGCTAAGCAGTGAGGTGGATAGCATGCACAACAGGGAGAGTAGGCATTAACAGGTTTTTTTCCTAAGATTCTGGAATGTTCCAAATATGTCCACACAGCGGCAGGAAAATCCATTGGTGTGAATTCACAGATGACCACTTGAAGAACTACAGTTACAGGAAAGTAAGCTGTCCTTTCATTCCTCCTTCATCTTACCTATACTAAAAGCCAGAAGCAGAACAAAGATGGCCATACTCAAACAGCACTGAATATTTGCACAAGTGGGCAGCATCCCTGAAAAGGCCATCTCTCATCTTGCCACCAATCATGCTACTTTTGGTAGGAGAATGGCCTGTGGAGTTCCTCAGGGTTCTGTTTTGTCTCCTGTGTTATTTAACATCTACATGAAATCGGTGGGAAATGTTGCCTCACCAATGACACCATGTTTGATCTCTCTTTGCGGACCTAAATCTGAGAAAGCTGTCTCAGTTCTAAATCAGTGTCAGTAATGGATTGAATGGGGTAAATAAACTGAAACTTAATCTGGACAAAATAGAGGTGCTATCCATTGATCCCTGAATAGGGATGCAGCCTGTGCTGGATGAGGTTACACCAGCTCTGAAAACACAGCTTGTGGGGTGGTTCGGGATGCCCAGGTTTCGGCAGTCGCCAGGACTCCATTTGCACAATTAAAACTAGTGTGCCAGCTGTGTCTGTTTTTGGAGAGGACCTGATTTGGTCATGGTGACACATGTCTAATATATATCCCATCTGGATTGCTTTAATGCACTCTACATGGGGCTGACTATGGAAAGTTCATGAAACTCTAATGAGTCCAAAATGCGGCAGTCAGATTGCTGACTGGGGCTGGTTACAGGGATTGCATAACCCTCCTGTTCCAGCTGCTCCACTGGCTGCTGATCTGCTTCCGGGCACAATTCAAAGTGCGGGTTCTAACCTATAAAATCCTAAATGGCTTGGTTCCAATCTATCTCAGAATATGAGCAAAAATAATCCAAATAATTGAGAACAAAAAGTGGGGGAAAGGAATGCATTCAAGATGGAGCTACAGAAGCAGGCAGGCAGCACAATCCAAAATAGAGGACACTGTGAGCTAGCATAGACTAATACCACAAGAATGACTAAAATAAAGAGCAATCCTTGCCAGGTGACAACCAATCCAGGCCCTTTGACAGATTCAAAATTCCCAGTCCCCACAATCGTTCTGATCAGCTGTTGACAGCAGCTTTGACAACACTATTGGATGAAAAGTTTCTGAGGTGATTTGACAAAGTGTGAAATAAAAATTACATGAAAGAGGGAACATGAAAGAAATATGAAATTTTAATGTAGCCCTCTTTCATAAACATCATTCATGTTTAACAGGCTTTATTTTGGCAGTTGACGAAAGAACATGAAATACTACTGGGAAAGAAAGACTCTCGTGTTTAGAGTCTTTCATGGAAACATGAAAGGCCTCTTCCTAGATATAAATTTTACAGTTATTTAATATGGGAGATCAGAAGTATCCATGTAAAATTTGATATTATACCTGTTACTGTTTTGGTCACACTGTTTTGGACTAGTCTCAGAATGCCCCAGCCAGCAGAAATACAGCCAAGTTATTATTATTTTTATTAGTTGTTAAAAATATTTTATCCCACCTTTCTCCTTAAAAGGGGGTAAACTGGGACCTCAGCAGAGTCCATTGTTCCTGCTATTGTGGAGACATTTCAGGACAAACACAAAGAACTTTCCATTTTATAAGATTAAATAATCTTCAACTGAGATTGCATGGAAAGACTGTGTGAAGTTTAGCCAGAATAGGAAAGAATCTGGGATTAAATGAGAGCATCTGCTTTTGCTTATCCCTGATTAAGAAGTCAGTTGTATGATACCCACAGCCTGTAGGCACAGCAGCCTGATCTTAACTGAGAATTAAGTGCTATAAATTTCTGTGGAGATGGTTAGAATTAGATTGAGTGGGAAACTGTAATGTGTGCAATTCTACCTAGAAGTGAGTTTTGTTTATTTTATATTCAAGTATCGTATATATACAGAATCTACAGGAATATATTTTAGAACTAATTCTTAACATTTTGAATACCTGACATTCATTTCATTCAGCAAAACTCAAAGAAGGACTTAGCTTCTTCCTGGGTTGACAACATTGACTTGATGTTTATAATTGTTTCTTTACTTTAGACAGTGAAAGGAGGCATATCAGAGACAAGAATTGAAAAGCGAATCGTTATCACAGGCGACGCAGACATTGACCATGATCAGGTATGATTTATAAAGTACTGAAATTGTCTCTAAGTTTGTCATTCTTAATGTAAACCTAAAAGGCAGTGTTAGCCCAGGCATGTCTTTAAATTTAATTGGGTTGCTATTTAAATTAAATGTGCAATTCCTTTTCCTCATTTGCAAATTTGTAATTTATCATGAATCTCTCTTCACCTTGCTACTGATCATGCATGTTCCACCTCCTTCTTGTTTTTGCCCTTCTGTGGTTTCCTTGGGCTAGGCGCTGGCTCAGGCAATTAAAGAGGCCAAAGAGCAGCACCCTGACATGTCAGTGACCAAAGTAGTGGTACATAAAGAAACAGAAATCACACCAGAAGATGGGGAGGATTGACCACAGGTAAGAGGATGTGATTTTTCCCAGGCACTCATGGGCTGGCATGTGACAAATGTCATTCCTTCTCTCATAGTCCATCTCTAACCCTTTCTATTTGTTCTCTCTGGCATTTGTATTACACCTTCCGAAAATATTCATCCCAAAAATTACCTTACATTTTCCACTCATAGATTTTTTTTCCTTTTTCTATTCATGCCAGTGAGAAAAATAGAAGAAATTCATATGCTTATATCTGCTTGCTAGTTGCTGTGCATTTCCATGATCCAGTATGTTGCTCTTTAAGTTACAGTCTTAGAAACTGCTTTTAAAGTATGCTGCTTATGCATTTGGGTTACAGAAGTAAGAAAGTATTTTCTTTCATTGTAAAATATTACTTTGATTAAAAAAAACTTGCAAGTGTAATGGTTCAACCTATCATATGATGAACAGAAATACCAGGATTTCAGGGACAGTGTAGTGTCAAGTTGTCCAGGTATGGCTGAAATTGATTTTAAAGTATATCATTTTCTCAGTTTATTGAATAATGAGTGCTGCTATGAATGTCTTGGTCTTCTTGTTTCTACATGGCTGTTTTGCATCATATAATTGCATTGTTTCTTAACGGAAGATGGTAACATATAGTTACTCTTGTCTGCTGCAATTCAGTAAAGGCATGCTGACAAATTCTGGCTTTAGAGGCATCTTGATAGTGATGCAGTTACTGTATGCATGTGCTGGAGTTATGCTGTACATACTAACATGCCATGCAAGAGCTCTTAATATTATCATCATCTGTAGATGGCTTTAAATGTTGTATGAAAAAAGAGAGTGGTGGCTTTTCTGCTTCATTTGAACTGATATTTCAAGCAATATGTACTGCCCAATACTGATACAAATCATATGTTACTATATGGACACTGGATTGCTGCAGCCTTATTGAGAGGTTTGCAAAATGAGAATATTAGAGAAGAAATACAAAGATTTCTTAGGTGGGAGATGGCCTGTAGATTACTCCTGGACAAAGAAAACGTTCAATTTGTGGGTCGATTTAGCAAAATAAATGAGAATTACAAGTGTTAGGTACATATGTAAATAACTTTCCATACTGCACATCCAAAAGTTTTCTCCAAACCTTGAATAAAGCCATTGTGAACGGCTTTATGCTAAATCTCAAACTATTGGTCTACGTTCTTGATTCAGCTTACACTGACTGGCCATGGCTCTCCTAAAGTCACTGGTGGCACTTTTCCAGCCCATTTATTTAAGGGGTTGAATGTAGGACTTTCTGGATCAAAACTTTGTGCTTTACAATAGCATATAATTCATCTTGTTCTATTTCCTTTGATCACTTCTTTAAATTGAGATTCAAAACACATACATGTTCATAGACTTACAGCTCATACTCTTTACGACTATTGATCTGAATGCTGTCATTATTGATATACAATATCAATACAATGTTGCTATAAGGCTCATAGGTATTTTTAAAAAAAAAACTAGTATCAGTATGGTTTAATGTATTTTGCATATTGCTTTAGAAAAACTAAACAAGTTGTGAGACAAACTCCAAGGCAAATTGGAGTCCCACTAACAAATTTGATCAGCTGTTCTATAAAAAACTGATCATGTTAGTGATTGCTCTAATACTTTTTGTGGCAGACAAAAGAGTATTTTTATTTCTTTATCAATCTGAGAAAGTTATCTCTAGAACTTAACTGTACTCTCTCTACTGCAGGAGTAATGTAGTTTTCTTAACAATTCTATCATATACGCCATTGGGAATTCCAGAGCCTACGGAGTCATGGTTCTAACCCAGCAGGCTTGCATCTCTTCAGAGAATTTTTCAATGTGGAAGAATCAATCTTGATTGCTATATAAGGACACTGGCAGAAATATTGTCCCAATTACAGCGATCTGAATCAACATTAGTAACCCAGTATTTGCATGAAGCAACAAATTACAAAAAAGAGCAGCATTTTTATTTTCCTAAAATACATTTCCATCTCTATTCCTGCACGTTCATTGACAGTATAAAAACAGTGATCTCATGTGATACATAAAACAGTTCATGCCTTCACACTGAGTCTAAATCACAGTTTTTTAGGTGGCAAAACTTTGTTTAGGGTATGTGAAGATTACCCTAAAACGCTAGAATCTGTATAGGTACTGTGTATAATGTTTTATCACCTTAGATGTGCCAATAACACACTTTATTCAGTAAACAACTTGAATTATATACTTGTTTTCATCTGTTTTATTACTCTTGTCCAATAAACATGGTGAATCTCCAGTCTCACTTAAATGCTTACAACTTATGCTTTGTTTACTTGATTTGAGATCATTAATAGGTAGTAACTATTTTAACATTGTTCAGTTTCAAGTTAGAAATCCTGCAGTTACCCTTCACAAGTCCTTGTTCTATAAATTGTGTTGTGATTCTTTTAACAAAAATGTGTGTTTTCTTTAGCATTTCAGAAATACTAGTCTGAAACTGTGATTTTTAAAAAACTTGTTTTCCTTCAATGAAAATCTCTTTTGATGAATCTGGTCAGCATTTCATATCTAGGTCAGAGTTGAGCCTTAAACTGTACAGAATACCCACTAAACATTCTTTGGCATTGATTATCTCATCTATTTAAGGGATACTGTCTTCATTACACTGTCAGTCACATCACAACACATGGTGAATGTATGTTTCTGCATAGTGAAATAAAAGTGGTAAATGCACCCAAATTTGCATTGGTCTATGTCTAAAACATGTTTTCTGTATTCATACTTCAGTACCATTTGTATAATATTAAAGGCATCTTTAATGTGGAAGTGTTCTTCCAGTATAGGCCACAGTATATTGAAGGAAGTACAAATGGGAGAGAGACTGAATAAATGCTGTGTAAACAAATTCCTTCTGTACAACTTTGTACATACAAGAGGTAGCTTCTAATTTCTTCTGTATCTTATAGCTGTGTAATGTTTTTCACATAAGCTAAATGAAGGTTATGATCACCTAACTGTTCTTAGTATTAGCTTGAATTAGGTTTTGTTTTTCTATTCTGAAGCAGGTTCATCAAGCTGTGTATGGTCCAGTTCCATTCCAGTAGAAGAGTTAAGCGTGTGTTTTGTGCTTTCCCACTGAGATCAGTGAGACTACTTAATTTAGGCTGGTTTGTGTTTTTTGCTGCTTCTTTTTTATTTAGGTGGTCGTGATACTTTCTGGTTAAAGAAAACATTTAATAAAATGTTTTTTGTAGGTTTTTGAACCATGTAAAGGACCATCTGCAACTTTAGTTTTACTGATTAAAGCTATGTGACCCATACCGTTTCCAGCTGTATACAATGGTAGGAGCTTCTGTGAAGTAAAACTATTTAGAATAGATGAAAAAAATATTTTTAAAGAGTGTATATCACAGAAAAATCTATTGAGAAAATATAAGAGCACTGGTCCAATAGCACTTTGCAAGTGTGAACCTCAGGCCCAGATCAGAAATTCAGAGTCCCCCAAAGAGATCACTTACAGGTGTTGGCTGACTTATGTCACAGCTGGAATTGGTGGAGGCTTGTAATATGAACTGCCACATCTGTGCAGAGGCTAAATACAAAGCTTCACAATTGTGATCAGTAACTTGAGAAATTACCAATACTGTATAAATATAAAAATAAAGGATGTTACCTATCTAACCTCAAATACAGCTGTCAGCTCATATTATTGGTGTCTCCATATGATTCCAGCTGGGTCAAAAGCTTGTCAGTCATCTTATAAATTTACACAGGTCACACTGAGTCTACTATCAACAGCTACACAAATATAGCTCCCTTGTTCCTCGAACTACTAAAAACTTGGCTCAGGGTAATGGTGGAGTTTTGTCTTTTGGACATTCTTCAGATTATTTTGCATAACAATAACGTAGGCTTGTTCTAATAATAACTCCCGTATATGTAAAGTTATGTAGTAGCAGTTAATACACTTAGCTAATTTAACAAAACACACAAATAACTCACAATATTTTGTAATGGATACAGTATAAGGCAGAAATCCCAGTTATAATTACTAGGAGTAAGCATCATTAAGTGTAATAGTATTTACTTATGAGTAAGGAGTTGTGTCTCTTTCTCACTTTTATTTTAATCAAATCTATAAACTGATATACCTTCCTGATTGCTGACATTCCTATGTGTCTCTTCCTCTCCTACCTGCCTTGCAGGAGTTGTCTCACTGTTATAATGTAGGCAACAGCCATCATCCAGTCATTCATCTCTTGTTTCTTGTTGGACTCCCTGCTTGCACACAGAACTTGTTTCTTCCAGTATGACCATTATCTTCAATTGCTTAAAGAACAAAGAGTCACCATGTTTTTTTTTTAATTTATTTTCCATTTCTTACCTTTCTTAAACTGTGTTGTTTGGAACAGAGTATGCAACTTTAATCATACCCTTTCAACTCTGAATGCCAAATTCAACTTTTTTTTCCCCTGTGGCAGCTACTGATGGGATGAGTATGCCATGTTTCTTAGAAGTTCACACTCCAGTTCTGGATAACCTAATAAGCGTTTAAAATAGGTTCTGACGCCTTATTACTATTCCATGCAGGGAATAATTGCTTTTTCAGGGGGAAAAATTCAACCTTTTATGTCCCAACTGTGAAAAGGTTAAAGTCCCCATGTGTGGGTACTTTATTTGTATGTAAACTAGGTAACTTGATTACATGTTACAATTAAAATGTAGGAATTGTTACTTTGAAGTTCCCGGAAGGTTGGAGTCTCAAAATCAGTTCCAGTGAAAAGCATATCAGATATCAGCTTCTTTCAGACAATCAATCAATAAATTATAGTTTATACAGGTCAGTTACATTAGCCAATTCACAAATCAAGCAATTGCATTATAACTTATTATGAAGCATGGCATCAGAATACACTCTAATCTGCAGTCCTGGACACAGAACTAAGGAATATGCCCCACTTAACACAGTGGAATTTGCTTCTGAACTAAGAGGCATAAGAGTGTGCTGCACAGTTTATGGAATAGATAGAGACTTCTGTCCAGGGCTACTGCTATGTTTACCACATTTTAGCATGGCATACCAAAATAGCAATGCTGTTAAAAGCTAGTTCACTGTTTTGTAAGATTTGTCTATTTAGTTTGGGTACTCACTACTAGAATGAGAATGAAGTAGATAATGATGGCTCAATGTTAGTGAACTTTGTTTGAGCGTACCTCCTGGGAAATCACTGTTGCTTTTTGATGGATTGTTTTTGGGTTGACTGCCTAATTCTGTGCCAGATGAAATAAAAAGCTCTTGCCTGTTTCTAACAGCTGCCTTTTGTCTCAGTCTTTTCTTTCTTGTTGGTCTTCATCCAGCTTTTATGCTTGTAGCAGTCCATACAAACTAACTTAAACAAGACAAGCCCTGTTTGGAGGTTTTATTCTGCTGTGGAACTGGACACAGACAAATCTTCTCACTCTCATCACTTCAGAAAATGCAGCACTATGGGTTGCTTTGTGAAGATGAAGGGTCAAGCTGCACAGCTTATATGAAGAGTGGATAAAACAAAGGTGCAAGCCAAGAAATAGTGGCCAGGACCTGGATGCCTACATGTAAAGTACTCCTGCTTTACACAGAGAAAGCAGACAATCCTGATTTCTCTCCCTTCACAGCAGTGTATCTCCTTAAACCTCACAGAATTATGTCCCAGAGGGCCAGGATAGAGATATCTTGGAGGGCTGATGGTGAAGTGGGGGGCAGCAAAGTATTATATAAGGCATTTTGAAGTCCATTATGAAAGTAATTCCCACACCTGGAAACAACATGCATATCTCTAAATGTTGAGATTATTAAAAAATAAGTTGTGACAAAACCTAAGCTCAAGAAAGAAAAGTATTTGGAATGTGTTATTATGATGATTTTTAAAAAGTTAGCTACCTTCATGAACAAATAGCTTAATAAATGAGTTCATTTATGATTAATAACAAAGTATATATCTTAATTTAGTTAATATTTTCCAGGTTGAGTCCTTGAAGTGAAAACTTTTTATATTTAATTTTAGTTTGTATACAAACTTGCAAATGCTGGAATTACATTATTAATCTTTGCTCAAACTCCTAAAAACTTTCAGCTTCTAATATCATTAAGTTTACTACCCATCTGCTCTCCTTGTTTCTGCACAGTCTGGTCCTTAGTTTCACATAGATTTTCTTTTATAAGAGGTATTTTCCCATTTTCAACCTTCATCTTTCTGTCCCCCACACTTTTTATGGATTGAACTCCTTGGTTCTAATTTCAGGCAGGAGTTCATTTCCTGATTCCACACAGTGTAGGTATATACCTACGGGTTGCATGTACCATTTTGTACATACTCATGAAGACTGACAAATCAGAGATGGGAGTTTATTTTACAAATCTAAGCTGCAAGAGTTCCAGCTTGCTTATTTTATTAGTTCATTATAGAATATGTTTGAATTTCAGGTGCTGAGAAGTTTGTGGGGAGATATATAAGCACTTAAGGCTCTTAGTTAAAGGAACTGTGTCTAGTTGAAAGAAACAGATTCAATACAAAATGAATCTGGCACCACTGTTACAAGTATGCATTAACTAAAAGGAACACAAGTGTATATGTGGAAGTATTTATGCATAAGAATGTTGTGCATATTATTCCTATAAAGTCAAGATTGTAGCATGTAGAGGTGAGAGGTCCATCTGAAGACAACAATCGGTAATTATCAGCTGCATGGATTCTGGGGGACTGAGATTTTTCCACAGAACTCCAAGAATATTCTGTCACTGGATGCTTTGTGAGAAAGAGGTGAATTGCCCTCCCAGAGACTGGGTAGGTTCTTGATAATATCTGAAGTGAGTGCAAAGAAACAAGGTGTGAGATGGGTATAGTGTAGGAGGACGTTTCAATGATGTAACTCCTTAATGTAATAATGGCAAATAGGTTTCCCCCCATCTTTACTGCATGTTCTCAGTATGGCCTAGTGAAACATTTTTGAGAGATCTGAGCCTTTTCACGAGCTGGTCCAACAACAGATATGAAATTCAGAATAAAACACTGGCAGATTTGCAAGCTGCTTTGAAAATAAAGTCACTTTCATCTGTCACAACAGATAATCATTAATGTAGTTCTGTTAGCAAAGGCAGGAATACCATCCTCTTTAGTTTTTTTTTTCTTTCTTTTGGTATTTGAGGCAAAAGGATGTGAACGTGGTGCTTGGCCACATCTAACTGACCATCTGCATGCTTGACTTGCTCTGGATATACAGTGGGGTCTTGACTTAAGAACGGCTTGAGTTAAGAACATTTTGACTTAAGAACCGCTCTCATAAGAAAATATTGACTTGACTTAAGTACTTAGATTTGAGTTAAGAACTGAAAAAACCCCACGTGGGAGGCAGGGAAAGTGCAAAATGTGAACTTTCAGTTAACTGTTGGCCAGTGAAAAGGGTGCCTGTCTGCTTCCTCACTCCTCCCAGCGTTTAGAGAGTTGATTGGGAGACAGTCTTCAGACTGCCTGGTACTGTACTGCCTGGACTGTATTTTCCCTGCCTTCCCTGAACCTTTCTTGACCTAAGAAAAAAAGAAACAATATATCCCCCTCTAGTGGTCGAAGGCGGAATAGCAGCTTCCCATTAGTTTCTATGGACGGAAAAGAGCAGATACGGATCAAATGGTTTTCAATGCGTTCCTATGGGAAATGCAGATTTGACAGGAATACCATCCTCTTTAGTTTTTTTTTCTTTCTTTTTTTTTTGGTATTTGAGGCAAAAGGATATGAACGTGGTGCTTGGCCACATCTAGCTGACCATCTGCATGCTTGACTTGCTCTGGATATATTGCATCAAATGTAAAGGGTGTATCTAGCTAGGTCCAAGTGACTGTGCACTCCTCCTTGAGAGTGGACAGTATTAGTCTCCCTTACTCTCCTGGGTATCTCAGTATTGACTACTGTATCCACATCAGCTAGGTGTGAGAGATACTGTATTTGAATGGAAAGCACTGATACCTAATAGCAGGTGATTCCGGGGCATTTCTATTCTTCACCTTTCTAGTTATGCCATGATGTTCCACAAGGCTCTGTTTTATGCCCTATGCCAGGGGTTTTAAACTCAATTTACCTGGGGGCCGCTAGAGACAGAGTCTGGGTGAGGCTGGGCCGCATCAGATTTTCTGCCGAGCGGAGCAAGAGCCCGAGGAAGCCGCCCAGGAGTTTTCTTAGCCAACAGACAGGTGGGCTGGCTGGCAAGCTGCAGTTCTGGATGGAGGGTGCAAGAGGTGCTGTCTCAGGAGAGAGCCGGCAATCGAGGCAAGGCTTTTTTTTTTACTCTTGACAGCAGAGGATGTGTGGGCGCTTTGGGAGGGGACAGGCAAGACGAGGGCCACAAACTATAATCTGGGGGGCCGCAAATGGCCCCCGGGCCGCATGTTTGAGACCCCTGCCCTATGCTGTTCTAATGACTACCTGAAACTGCTAGCAGATAAGGGCTGTGAAGTGTCCAACATGTATGTGACACCCATTTCTGTATCTATTTGCCAACGACTCCAAATGAAACAGAAGGTGTCCCAAGCACTATAATGGATTAGACAAGGCCCTATAAACTGAAACTCAATCAGCATAGGATGGAGGTGCTACTAGTCTGGTCATTCCCAGGTAACAGGTGTTCATGGTGTTCTGGATGACTTACATCATATTGAATGTTCTTTGGTTGAGCATTTTCACGGGAGGCAAAAGAAGCCTCACTGGCTTGGAGCACCTTTTATTAGCTAAAGCTGATACACCAGCTGTGATCCTATATATGAACTATTGGGTAATCTTCCATTTGGTTTATTGTTATGCATTGATTTTATACTGTGTATTGTGCAAAAGCCTGTGTGCTATGCAATAAACTCAATTCATCCGTTATGCATTCTACACAAAGTTGTCTTTAAAAAAAAAACTTGGTGCAAAACAGAACCACCAAGTTGTTAATAGGGGCTTACCAATACAATCATATTACACAGTACTTTGCCAGTTGCACTGGCTTCCACTCCATCTCTGAGCCATTCAACTTGCTATCAACCTTCAAAGCTCTAAATGCCGTGCGTCTAGGTAACCTGAAGGAAGGTTAATTTTCAGCATGCACTCAGTAATCAAAAAATCTAACTTTGTGGCATGGCTATTTATGTTATATGCTATGAAGTTAATTACAACAATTCCTAGTAGGATTTCCAAGGCAAGTTCAATATTTAAAGATTAGCTTCCCCATTGCATCCCTCTCCCCAAATTAGTTTCTATGGCTGAGCAAAATTTTGAATCCAGGTCTCTTGAGTTCTAGTCCAAAACTCTACCCAATACACTACCATTGGCTCTTCATCTCTAAGCAAGACAGACTTCAATAAAAACAAGTGCATTCAGTTATGAGACAAGAATAGCACCCTTAAAACATTAACTTCCATGGAATCAGTGTGTCGCGTCCACCCAGTGTCCATTTTTTCCCTTAAACGTAGGTTTACCATCTAGATCAGAGGTCATCAACCCCCGATCCACGGCTCATTGCCGGTCCGTGGCTTAACCTTGACCGGGCCGCCAAGCCAGACCTCCTCCCCCCGCAGTCACCCCCGCACAGGTTGTCTGCACCTGCGCAAACGGCGGTGGGGTCTCCCGGAGCCCAGCTGGAAAGCTAGCAGTGCGGAGGGACCCAGCGGCTGAAGACAGAAGCCCAGGAAAATCAAATGGCCTCCCCATGGAGAGATAGAGACCCAGCAGGGGGAGGTGGGGGGGGGGGGGGGGGTTAGAAAGGCTTGCAAGGGAGAGCGGGCGGGCTGTCAGGGCTGTACAGAGCCCTCCTCGCCTTGCCGCATTACCCTGTGCTCCCAGCCGACACAGCCTGGGAAAAATTCAAAAGATTTCTCCTGCCTCCTGCAGGGTCTCTCTCTGCTGCTGGCTTTCCAGCCAGACCCCATGGCTGGAGACAGTGGGGGGGAGGCAGGCTTGCAAGGGAGAGTGGGCGGGCAGCAGCAGGGAGAGACCCCGCAGGAGGCAGGAGCCTGGGCGATGGTGCAAGGCGAGGAGGGCTCCGCACAGCCCTGACAGCCCGCCCGCTCTCTCTTGCAAGCCTGCCTTCCCCCCCTGCTCTGTCTCCAGCCGTAGGGTCAGGCTGGAAAGCCAGCAACATGGAGAAATCCCGTGGTGAGAGACAGAGCGGGGGGTGTCTCTCCCTGCTACTGCCTGCCTGCTCTCCCTTGCAAGCCTGCCTTGCCCCCCCCCTCCCCCCGCCTC